TTTGGGTTTCACCCTGATGAAAATATGTTTCAGGAATCCATCATTGTGGTGACGGCATGCCCGGAGTTCAGAACTTCCACTCCATCGTACTGTGGCTGAAGCATTTGATGAGCGCATTGCATTACATTCACTCGAAGTCATTGATTCACAGTGATGTGAAACCTGCCAACTTGCTGTTTCTTGTCCTCGGGTTTAGTTGCCTTTTTGTGTTTCCAAGCTTGATCAAATAATGACCACATACATTAAAGTGACAGAACACTTTCGAATCTTTCGGTTATGATTAATTAAGGTTATTTTCCAAATTACCTTTGTTCATAATACGTGTTTATGCATTAATATGTTTTCATATCTATTACTAAAACCCCTGTATATAGTTTTATAAAGGTCCATTTTGTTTCCATCTACGGTTTCACTTCAAGGCTCTCCGACAGGAGCCCGACGGCAACATTGAAGTTGGCCGATTTTGGCATTTGCTTTGAGGTTGTCACCCATACATGTGCTGGCACCCCAGAATACATGCCAGAGCAGGTGTACTTCGGCCAGGCGGCCGGAGACAAATTTATGGACGTCTACGCGTCCAAGTGCACCCTCTTCGAAATGATAGAAGGTGAGATGATGGTGAAGGACGCGGACGAGTGTGAGAGAGCCGAGCCGGTTCTGCATAGCAAGTCCTGGAACCATGCCAACGGCTTCCTTCGCTCAGCTTTCAACCTGCTGCTCAAACCGAAGGAGAATACGCAAAACACAAACTGGTTCGCCTATCTAAGCGTAAAAAAGACCATCAAATTCCTCTTGGACGTCGACGACGACGGGGAGTTGTCAGCAGCTTGGCCAATGAATTTGCATTTTTGCTTTATATACTTGTTTTGTTGGAGCCGTCGTGGAGTGGCAATCATTTTCTGACGACTCAGGGACTGGCGACTGAGAAGTCTCTGAAGGACCTGAAAGGCGCTGCGGCAGAAAGATCTTTCAGAGATCTGAAAAGGAAAGGTGGCGAAGTGTGCGCGGTGCTGCGGCATGAGAAGAACAAAAGCCGGTTAGAAAGGCGCAAAAGGCAAAAACAAAAAGAGAAGGAGAAAAGCAAAGCGCCACGGCGTCAAGTCATTGTCACGTGTTTCATGATTCTATATTGAACTGGCAACGCAAAGCGGGTTTTGTCGGTGTGTTGTCATTTTTTTGAAAAGTACTGTAATTAATTAGTCTTGTTGACAGATTGGGTGCCCGAGGGCCAAAGTGCTTCAGAAAGTGCAGCGGCGCCGGAGGGGGGTCGACGAGGAGTTGAACCAGTCGGAAACGATGACGTCGAGGATGACGACAACAATGACGACGAGGACAATGACGGCAACGAGGGCAACATTGGTGACACTGACAACGAGGACCAGGACTTGGCAATGAAAGCTGTGCTAGTGAAAGAGCACAACACTTTGCAAGAGCGGTGGCTTTCCCTTGCGTGACTTGGTTGAAAATTAGTAGAATTTCATTGATGTATCAGGGCAACGGTACAGACGGAAACGGCTATACGCGGGGCAACGGCTATACGAAGGGCAACGGTTATACGAAGGGCAACGGCTATACGAAGGGCAACGACTATACGAAGGGCAACGACTATACGAAGGGCAACCGCTATACGAAGGGCAACCGTTATACAAAGCCAAATCTCTCCTTTATTCCAGCTCCTCCTGGGAGGACTTACGGCCCGGAATAAGGACCCCCCTGCGTTAGGGGGGGGGCTTATTCCAGCCCCTCCCAGGAGGAGCTGGAATACCAGGGACCCAGCGTTGACGCCGTCACGCAGAGGTAGCTGGTATTCCTAACGGCTTGACGCTGGGTCCCTGGTATTCCAGCTCCTCCCAGGAGTGGCCGGAATA